GCCACCCCCCGCTCCTGTATCTCCTCTGCCCGCCTCTTAATACTGATGTTTCTCAGGGTCCCTGCTCTGCTCTTTGCACAGGCAGCCCTTGGATTTCCTATACTCCCTGAGGATTTTAACTGCTCCCTGGATACCGATGACTCCCGTCAGTATGTCCAACTGCACCCTTTCCCTGAGTTGGATTCAGATTCAAACATACAAGTGTTTGTTAGGTGAATAGTGTTTGCATGTGTCTCGCAGGAGCCTTAAACTCAGAGACTCTAAATGTGAGCTCATCACCTCCCTGCCCCGGACTTACACCTCTCTCCTTCCGCTGTTCCCATCTTAGTGGATGGTTCAGGCAATGGCCTGGGGTCTCAAGTAGGAACTGGTGAGTTATCTAAGTGTCTCCTGTCTTTCTCACCCCCACGGCCAATGTGCATATACTGTTGACCTCCCTTCGAAGCATCTCTGAGTCTGTTTCTCTTCATTTTTACTACCTCTGAATTTCAGAACTGGAATCAGATGACAACTTTCATCTTGGCTCCTCCCGTACTCTCCTCACCGGATCACGCTTAAACATTTCTGTGGTTTCCTGCTGCCTACAGAATCCAACGGAGACTTCCAGAATGGAGCAAAAGCCCTCTGTGACTGTTTCTTGCCCCCATCAGTCTCACCTCCTGCCGCTCCCTCCCCTTGTTTCACACCTTCACAGGTGCTCCCAGGAACCTGCGCCCCTGCTGTTTCTCGTTCCCACAGCTTTGCTGATGCCAATGCTGTCCTGTCTACCCGAAACGCCTTCGCCACCGTGCTCTGCCTGGCTCATTCTTACATGACCCTAACTCGGCGCAGGTGTTATTCCTCCAACAGACACTTATTGAGCACCAAGTATGTGCCAAGCAGGGTTGGGGACCCAGTGGTGAACAAGCAGACAGGGACTCTGTCTTCACGGAGCTTATTCTAATAAAACTTTCACTGAATGACAGGATGTTGGGCCTGATGCCCCTCCCTCTCCCCACCCTCCCCAGCAACCTGTGCACACTTCGTCACTACCCTTGGTCTGTTAGGCTGAAATAATCTTCCAGTCTCTCTTCCCTAATGTACTGGAAAGTTCTTGAGGGTAGAGGCATGCCATAGTCATCTCAGCAGTCTTAGTGTCTAGAACAGTGCTTAGCACTTGGCGGGTTCTCAGTATGCTTCCTCGTAACTCGACTATAGGTTGTGAATAAATGACTCCATGTCTCAGCTTAAGCTTCCCATTCTCAGGGAAGCTTTCCTTGACCCTCTAGAACAATCCAGCCACCCTCATGATATGCCGCTATCATATGCTGTATTAGTTCTTCCCAGCATTTTGTGCTCATTCTGTAATTATTTTTTCAGCTATTTATATTATTTGTTTAAATGTGGTTTTCTGCAGTAAGATGTCAATTTGTGAGGTCCAAGGTACAGCCTGCATACTGCATGGCCTATAATAAGTGCTCAATAAATATCTGTTAACCGAAGACTGACAGATTTTCTGGCTGGGTGAAAATCCTGAATGCATTGCTGAGACCTACAGAAAAATTATAGGCAACTGCCTGCTGGTCCAATGTCTCTACCCATCTATAAAATGGAGATGTTCCTGTAGGATAATGTTGTATAGCAGATGAACTTTACGTTAAAACCATATTGAAACAAATATGCGTAAATAAATTAGACAAAAAAAGAAAGATGAGATTAAGGAATTAAACACATTAGCTGGAATTCTGGACAGGCTTTCAAATATTTCTGTCAGAATGTGGTATTTTATTCTCCCAGCGGACATATGACCATTTTCTTCTCTTTTTCCTTCCCAGAATTTGAGACAACAAGTGCGCACAATGAGACACAGGTACAGGAATCTGTGAGTATCTGAAGTATGTGACTTAGATTTCAAAAATCCACAGCAGAGGTTTGCAGAGATGGGCTGGGGAGAGCAGGATGTTGCTAAGTGGCGAAATGTATCACGACTATTGTGAAATAGCTAAAGAATCTGTAGACTTGTACTCTTGACAGAAATAACATTGATCATTACTTCTGTATGTGCAGATGCTTTTGAAAGGAAAAAAGAAAAGAAATACAAAAACATGCAAAATCCTGGTGTGTTCCTTCTGTGTGGCCCAGGATTAATGACATACTATAGAATCAACACCTGCCACAAGTGTGCCTCTGACTGTCTGAGGGTACCCTTCATTTATTTTTATTATTCCAATGAAAACTGGGGGCGTACAGATGTCTATAAAGGAAAAGTGAAGGTTCCCTATTCCCTCCTTCTTCTTCCCCCATCTCTGTCCTCACAGGCAATCTGTTGTCCTACCCTGGCCACTGTCCCCACGGCCTCCAGGATTCTGTGTGTTGGAGAATGGATCAGGGAGGGCAGAGAGGAGAGCCCAGTCAACGGAGATGGCATAGTTCCTGTAAGATGCCTCCA